CATTTTGGCCACTCTGACTGGCGTGAGGTGATACCTGAGTGTGGTTTTGATTTGTATTTCCCTGATAAGGAGCGACGCTGAACATCTTTTCATGTGCCTATTGGCCATCCGGATGTCTTCTTTAGAGAAGTGTCTATTCATGTTTTCTGCCCATTTCTTCACTGGGTTATTTGCTTTTCGGGTGTGGAGTTTGGTGAGCTCTTTATAGATTTTGGATACTAGCCCTTTGTCCGATATGTCATTTGCAAATAGCTTTTCCCATTCCGTTGGTTGCCTTTTAGTTTTGTTGGTTGTTTCCTTTGCTGTGCAGAAGCTTTTTATCTTCATAAGGTCCCAGTAATTCACTTTTGCTTTTAATTCCCTTGCCTTTGGGGATGTGTCGAGTAAGAGATTGCTACGGCTGAGGTCAGAGAGGTCTTTTCCTGCTTTCTCCTCTAAGGTTTTGATGGTTTCCTGTCTCACATTCAGGTCCTTTATCCATTTTGAGTTTATTTTTGTGAATGGTGTGAGAAAGTGGTCTAGTTTCAACCTTCTGCATGTTGCTGTCCAGTTCTCCCAGCACCATTTGTTAAAGAGACTGTCTTTTTTCCATTAGATGTTCTTTCCTGCTTTGTCAAAGATGAGTTGGCCATACGTTTGTGGGTCTAGTTCTGGGGTTTCTATTCTATTCCATTGGTCTATGTGTCTGTTTTTGTGCCAAAAACATTTGTCTTAAAAAAAAAAAAGCTAACACAACAACCAAAACCCCAGCAGGAAGAAGAAAAACCTGTTATGATTAGGTATTATATCACTAAAAAAAAGTTATGTTGTGTGTGCTTTTAAAATAAATATATAACTGAATTATCTTTTAAAATTATTCCATATTTGTGGCCTATGCCTGGCACAGCTGAGTTCCATTAGAACACGGTTTTAAGAACTACTGCCCTATGGCAAATGACCCCGGCTCTCTGAGCCCTAGAGCAACATGGATGGCACAGCTCTTAGGACCTGCCACCACCATTTACTGTCATTCTTTGCTGAAGCCAGCTTCTGACTACTCAACTGACTTTCCAGAAGCTTTCGAATGGGCACTGGGGTGCAGGGTAGAGCTGTTGCCCTGGTGTAATTATTCCAGTAATTGGAACTGTAGATTTCCCATTACATCAAATTTGTTGCCATTCTGGGTTTTGTGTGCTTAAATGGCCTGAGTCGATTTCTCAGAGTCCTGACTGCCCTTAGATGAACTAATAGTGTCTGATCTCAGAGGTGAAGTTGACATTTTCTAACCCCGAGGGCCCTTCCTGTCCATCTGCAATAGTTTTTTAGATTGTTTTTAACGTTTAAAGCATTTAATTCTAACAGTCACTTAATCCCAGCCATCTCAATTACCTTAATCTTTTCCTGTTAATTAAAATGGCTTTTCACTGATAGGCAGGAACCATGTTCTAGATTTAATCAACAACCTGCAATCTAAATATTGACCATCTATGCCAAATATTTTAAGCTAGAGACTTTTTAGGGCAGGCAGACATCTGATAATATATAAACTCAACCAATTTGTAATTCCTGTCAGTCTCCTAGGTACTTCATGATAAGCCTGTAGGCTTTTATTCAGTAGTCTGGTATGTGGTTTTAGAACCTATATTAAAAAACAAAACAAAACAAAAAAAAACTACCTCTGTTGATTTTGAACAGATTGTAATGGACAGCAACCTCAAATATAAGTATGCATCAGGATCACTTTGGGGCATACTTATAAATGTGGATTCCTGGGTCCCAACCCCAGAGAGTCAGGTCCTGTTAGGAAACCAAAAGTAAGACCCGTGAAGCAATCAAAACAATTGAATGCTAAACATACTTTATTTTTTTTTAATTTTTTTTAATGTTTATTTACTTTTGACAGAGAGAGAGAGCATGAGCATGGGAGGGGCAGAGAGAGAGGGAGACACAGAGTCTGAAGCAGGCTCCGGGCTCTGAACTGTCAGCACAGAGCCTGACGCGGAGCCCAAACTCCTGAGCTGTGAGATCATGACCTGAGCCAAAGTCGGACGCTCAACCGACTGAGCCACCCAGGCGCCCCTAAACATACTTTAAGCAGTTAATAAATATTTCTTATTTGATTCAATTGCCCCATACGGTAGAAATTCCATGTGAACTAGAGACATTCTGAACCCATGGAAGAGGTGGGGCCTTGGCCTTGGTAGGGGAAAGGATTTAGACACAGGCCTGGAAGAGCAGGGGAAGGCATTTATTCACTGAAGTGTGGGAAGAGCAGAGGCTGGGCGGATGTGCAAAGGCACGCATGGGCTGGGTGGAGGTGGAACTGAGAGATGAGCGTGACTGTACAGAACGCACAGGTTCATGATGTTTGTTCTTACCCTGTGTTGTTCAGACAGGAGTTGGAGTGGTGTGTAATCGATGGCACATATTGGATGTGTGGGCTCTTCTGAGACAATCCCTTCACGCCTGATCAGTAACCCTGGGTGGCTGATAGAATTGACTTGAAGGGCACCTCCCTTCCTTCTCTTGGTTCCATTAAATGTTTCACTCAGTCAGAGCATTATGCTGGTTTGTGGTTCCAGTTCCACTCTGTGTGCCCTAGAGGAGCCCCATCTTCTACCTGCAGAAACAGAATTACGATTGCAGTGACAGATTCTTACCCAGAAGGCCAGACCAAGGGTAAAGGATGATTAGCTGATCTAGCTCAGAGGAGTCAGGGTCTGGAAAAGCTTCGTGCAGGAAGTACATCTGAGCAGAATCTTGAAAATTGAGTAGCGGGTTGACCAGGTGAGGGGAGAAGATGCTCCAGGAAATGGGAGCACATTTGCAAAATCACATTTGCAGGGAAGAACATGGCATGATTGGAGTTTGGTCAGCAGGAGCTCAGGGTGCCTGAAGGAAGCTGAGGCCAGAGAGGTATATGCAGGTGTTATGTCTCGTAGACCATGCTAAAGGGTTGGATTTTGTCACAAAAGCAATAGGGAGCTGGTAGAGGGTTTTAAGCAGTGTTAGTTTGTGTTCAGTGTGGCTGCAGTATGGATGATAGATTGAAGAGGGCAATGCCAGAGTCAGAGAGGCAAGAGATGAGAGCCTGATCTTGAGCTTGGAGGTGGGAATGGAGAGAAAAGGAGGGATGGGGAAATTTTAGAAGGCAAGTGCAAAAGGACTTGGTGGCTACTTGAGGTTTGGCAGAGGAGGGACAAGCCCTGACAGTGAGTAGATGCTGCTGCCATACCCGGGTCCAGGATATGGGAAGAAAGTCATTTTGGTGGGGATGATGATGACTTCATGTAGGGAGCAGACTGATTTTGAGGTATTTGTGGGACATCCAAGCGGAGGTGTGTGGAGGGCCCTTAGCGAGTCTGGAGCTCAGGAAGGTATAGGCCAGACATTGGTGTAAATGGAAAAAGATAATTTGTTGTACTAGGTTGGTTTCACCTCCAGAATATTTCTCAAAAGCAACCACAACTTTCCACGTCCTCTGCCATCCCTTGGTTCAGGCTACTATTATATTCTAATTGGTGTGGCTACTTCTGTTAGCGGTCTGTTCTTTTTTTTTTTTTTAATTTTTTTAAATGTTTATTTATTTTTGAGACAGAGAGAGACAAAGCATGAACAGGGGAGGGGCAGAGAGAGAGGGAGACACAGAATCGGAAGCAGGCTCCAGGCTCCGAGCCATCAGCCCAGAGCCCGACGCGGGGCTCGAACTCATGGACTGCGAGATCGTGACCTGAGTCAAAGTCGGACGCTTCACCGACTGAGACACCCAGACGCCGCCCCGTTAGCGGTCTGTTCTTACACAGCTGGCAGAATGATCTTTTAAAAACGAGATGGAATCTGGGGCATCCGGGTGGCTCAGTCGGTTGCGCGTCCAACGTCGGCCCAAGTCACGATCTCACGGTCTGTGAGTTTGAGCTCCACGTTGGGCTCTGTGCTGTCAACTGAGAGTCTGGAGCCTGCTTCAGATTCTGTCTCTCTCTCTCTCTCTCTCTGCCCCTCCCCCGCTCATTCTCCCTCTCCCTCTCTCTCTGAAAAAAAAAAGAAAAATAAAAAATGAGATGGAATCTTTTCATTTCCCTGCTTAAAATACGTTGCCACAGATTTCCCATTGCTCTTAGAATAGATTTGAACTTCTTACCATGCTACGAGGTCTTGCCTGATCTGGTCCAGCCTGCCTACCTGCTCCTCCAAACATCTTGAGCCTTTGCTTGACCATGTCTCTTCTAGGCCACAGGCTTCTCTTCTGTCTTGTCGTACACCAGATCCCCCCATACCCCCCAGCCCTTGCGTATGCGGCTCCCTTTGCCTGAAATACCCTTCCCCCATCCTCGGCCTGACTAACTCCTCACCTTTCAGCTCTTCCCTCAGAGAACATTTTCTTCAGAGGAACCTTCCCTGGTCTCCTGTGCTGTATTAGAGCCGTCCTGCATTTTTCTTTCCTACCACTCCACACCATTTGTTATTGGTTACTTCCGTGTTTGTTTAGTGTCTCCCGTGCAAGCTCTGTGAGGGCAGAATCCATCCTATGTTTTGTTCATCACTGTACCCCAGTGCCAGATAGTCCTGAGCCCATAGTAAGCACTCCGGTAAATACTGATTAGGTTTGTTGAGCGAATGAGGGTCATAATCTTAATTTTCTTTCTTGAAAAACTTGCAGTTTTTACAGTCACAGAATATGATTCACGCATTACAACTTAAGTAGCTGATTTCATCTACTTCTGGTAGTCTTACATTTTTCAAGGTTATTAAATAGTTTGCCTCTGGGAGGTTGAAGCATTAAAACTGCAAGTCATATCTGAAGGGTATTTATCTTCCCTAATGCCTCTATTCCTTATGGCGACTCTGGTTAGCAGGGCCTGACCTATCCATCGGCCGTCGGACAGTCGTATGGCACTGAGTTTTGAAATTGGGAAACCTGGTGCTTGTTGCCTTAAGTTGGGTCTTTGTGGCAGAGTTTAGTAGCAGCTTCTCCTTCAGCCCTCATTTGGGAAGTGTCCCAATACGTGCTGTTTGCGTTGCAGCTGTGGGAAAGTCCACCTTTGTGAAGTTACTCACGGAAACTTACCCAGAGTGGCACATAGCTACAGAACCTGTAGCAACATGGCAGAATGTCCAGGCCGCTGGCACCCAAAAAGTAAGTTTTGAGCTGTGGTGGGTAGTTGGCAGGCATGGGTGAATAAACTCATTGTAATAATCTAATTTGCTCTGAGTTGGTGAAAGAGCCCAGTTTGAGTCTCTGTTTTAAAATACTTTCATTCCAGAAAGCAGACCGCATGTGCCAGAGAGGATATGACTTGTTTGAATATGTTTAGTTTTGATTTTTGTGGTTTTTACATGTCTACATAAGTGACTGCCTCTGTTCTTTGTGGTTTCCCAAAGCATGTCCAGCCATCCTGGCTTTGTCATTCCTACCCTTAAGTGTGTTACTGAAGCTGGCCATCAGGATTATTAATAGTTAATTATAGTGATCTTAACTTATTTATGAAGTCTGAGAAATTGGAAGGGACTTAGCGAGCATCTTGTCACACTCTGAGTCGATGCAGAAGTAATAGCTGACGTTTATAAGGCACACTCTGCCACTTACTATGCCAAGTGCGGTGCATTTCACTTATGCCTCGTGGCCTAGGGCCCAGTGTCACGTCTGCTGCTTTGGGAGAGGCCGTAGGTTTGGTTTCAACACCAGCCACATCAGTGTGAGTAGGGAAGGACCAAGTTAGACGTGAACCTCAGAGGTAGCCGAGGGAATGGCACCACCTTGCCTCAGTCTCCACACACTCCTCCCACAGCCACCGGGAACATTCGCCGAGCAGCTTGTTCTGGGTTTTAACAACTCTAATTGTTAGAAAGTTCTTGTATGAGCCACTTTGCATCCCTGTGACTGTGACTCATTGATTCAAGTTCTGCCTCTTAAGTGTTTTGACTTTCCCACATGACAACGCTTCATATAGTTGAAGGTAATGATTTGTTTGCTCTTTCTCTTCCGTGAGTCTTTCAAGCCAAACACCATTTTCCTCCAGACTCTTCCTCATTCCGAAGTAACTTTGTCTAGGCGATAAGCTCCACTTTGTTAGTTTTCCGGTTAGAATTTACTAAAAGTAGTACTCTAAATGGTAAAATATATCATAGAACTTGTTTCAGGTGCCATTTTTCTGTTATTCGAACTCAGAATTGTATTACCTCTTTAGGCAGGCACTTCATGCTTATTGTGGATATATGTTTTTTAAATTGCCTCTTCCTGTGTGTGGGGGGAGGGGAGAGTATTTATGAAATTAGCTTTCCATTTAGAAAATAAATTACCTATCTTTTTCTGAGTATGCTGCAGGTCACCTGTTACAGGGATTTAAAAAATACGTCCACAAATTGGTGGATGAGCTTTCCTTTGAGAGGTAGACCCAAATTTTCTCCTTGAGTGTGGGCTGGACTTAGGGACTTGCTTCTGATGAATAGAATATAGCAGGAATACAGTGGGACTTTCTAAGGTAGACCATAAAAGACATTGTATTTTCCACTTTGTTCTGTCTTGATCACTTTTGGCTCTGGGGATGCCGGCTGCCATGTCACGAAGCAGCCTTGTCTGTGAAGAGGCCCATGAAGCAAGGGATGATTGAGTTCTCCTGCCAACAGAGTGTGAGTGAGTCTTCTTAGAAGTGGATTGATCCTTCAGCCCCAGTGAAGTCTTCAGATGACTGGCCTCCACCAACATCCTGACGGAAACTTTTCGAGAAACTCCAAGGCAGAACCAGGCAGCTAAGCTGTGCCCCAATTCCTTGCCTGTAGAAACTGAGATAATGAACATTCTTTTTGTTTAAGCCACCACACTTTGGCACCGTTTGTTGTGCAGCAGTAGAAAATTAATACTCACGTAGTCCCATTATCCAGAGGGAAATAGTTAACATTTTTGTTCTTTTAGATTTCTTTCTAAAGAGGAGAAAAATGTATATATTTATATACACCTATGTTAATATGTTAATACACCTATGTTAATGTATTAAAACATATATACATTTCCTTTTTTTTAAGCAAAAATTGTAATTGTTACCTGCATGGTTTTGATATACAAGGTCTTCCTTTCATAGTCATTTTAACGATCGCAGTTTACTGCATAATATCATAATTAAAATACTTAATACATAATATTACATGTATTAATTTCTTCCTGTTATAAGCAGTGTTACAATGATGAATATCCTTGTAGCTACATCTTTTTTTCTTTTTAATAGCTAAATTTTGTGCACTTTGTGTTTTCTTAGGATAATCTACAATTGGAATTTTGATGTCCAGAAATTACACATCTTGTTGACACTTGTTATATATACTTTACAGAATTTTCCTACAGAAAAGTTGTACTACTCTCCCCATACTTTTGGCGACACTGGGTGTTACTGTTTTTCATCCTTTCTAATATGAGGGACAAGAAAATGGTGTGTTACTTTGTTTTACATTTCTTTGATTACCAATGAATTCAACATCTTTTTTATGTTATCAGTCATTTGTTACTATTCTTTAGTGAATTGTCTATTCAGACCTCTTGCTTTTTCTTTTTCCTATTGAGATCTTCACGTTTTTGTAATGGCTTCATAAGAACTCACTGTATGTTAAGTATCTCAACTCTGTCCTATATTGCTGATACTTTCCCCAGTTTGTCATTTTTCTTCTATCTTTATATATGATGTGTTTTGCCATATAATGCTTTTAAGTTTTTATGTAATAAAATCTTCTTGTAATTACTGCCTTTGATGTTAAAGTTTAAAAAGGCCTCAATCTGAGATTATAAAAATCTGTGCCTATGTTTCTATCTCTTGCTTTTATGGTTTTATTTTGCTCTCTGTGTGACTTTAAAAGTTATAGGAGGCTAATTTTCCCCAAGTTGTTATTTACTTTTCATAATAGTATTCTTGTTTAGTTTATTCCTGAGTGGTTATATATTTTCTTATTGTTGTGACTGGGATCTGTTTTCCCATCATCTTTTTCAAAGTTATTACTGTTTTGAAGGAAAGCAGTTAACCGTATTTGTCTCATGTGACTTAATTTTTGTAACATTATTGTTTTTTTTTTTTTTTTTTTTGCTTTATCTGCTTGAGGTTTAAGAAAATAATAGTTTTCTCTAAAAACTGATCATTTGTAAGAGTTAAGAGTTCTCCGATATCCATACTTCTGTTTTCTTTTATTGGGTAGAAGTTCCAGAACAATACTAACTGTAACAGCACTGACAGTTAGTTAGCCTTATCTTGTTTTGTCTTTAATGAAACTACATCTGACGCATCAGTGTTCAGTTCTGTGATTGTTAATTGTTTCAGTAGATCATGTGCGGCAAGTGCCCTTCTAATTACTAGGATAGTAACATTTTCCTCAGGATCAGATGTTGAATTTTCATCAAAAGCCCTTTTAGTACCTAGTGAGATAATCATGGGGTTTTTCTTTTTTTAATCTCTTAGTAGTAGTCAATAGATTTGATAGTGGTGCCGTTTGTACATTCTAGAATGAACCCTTTTGATCATGGTATACTGTCCCATTAATTTGCTACTAGGTTGTTTGAAATTTTGCATGTATATTTATATATTTAATTGGTATTGCTATTTTTTTTTTAAATTTTTTAACGTTTATTTATTTTTGAGACAGAGACAGAGCATGAACGGGGAGGGTCAGAGAGAGGGAGACACAGAATCTGAAACAGGCTCCAGGCTCCAAGCTGTCCGCACAGAGCCCGACGCGGGGCTCGAATTCACGGACCGCGAGACCATGACCCGAGCCGAAGTCGGCCGCTTAACCGACTGAGCCACCCAGGTGCCCCGGTATTGCTGTTTTTTAACAGGTTTTACCATCAGGGTTATGAATGAATTGAGAAGTTTTATACTGTTTTAGCATAGGAATTATCTATTCTTTGAAGGTACAATAGAAATCATTTTTTAAATAATATGGATCCAGTGCTGTTTGGGGGGTAGAGTTACTGGACAACTGTTTCTTTCTCAATTACTATTCAGAGTTTGTGTTGTTTTAGGTATTTTTCTTTCAAATAGGATTTTTAGTTTTTACCCAGTGTTAGGGTTCGCCTTCCTGGGTATTTTCTCTCTTCTGTCACCTTATTTTATGCTTTCATCTTTTTTTTTTTCCTTTTTGCTATATTTAATATTCTCTTTCATTTTTCTCCCCTTTATTCACATGAGAAACATACCGTTTTTATCCTAACAGTGGAAACGTTTAAATTAAAAATGTACATGTGCTGCTGAGCCTGGTGGCTTTGTCGGTTAAGCATCTGACTTCAGCTCCAGTCAAGATCTGATGGCTCATGAGTTCGAGCCCTGTATCTGGCTCTCTGCTGTCAGTGCAGAACCTGCTTTGGATCCTCTGTCTCCCTCTCTCTCTGTCCCCCCCCCCCCAATATATAAACATAAAAATGTACATGTTTAAACCTATCTTTTAATGTTAGTGGAGTCTCTGTGAAAGGGAAAAACAAACCAAAACAAAACTTTTTTTTTTATTATCTTCTTCAGTATATTAAAATTATCTGAAATTTTGTAGATCCTGAATGCTTTTCCATTGTGAAATGTCTCTTTTAACAATAGAAATTTGGCACTCAGTTTTATAGCCATTTAAATAATAGTTCCTTAGTTACATTTCACTCTGTTCTACCGGTTGATCACTGACCACTGTTTTCTCATTACCACATCTTCCCATTTTGTAATTTTTCAGTTGGTTGGAATATATTTTAGAGAATTTTTTTCAGAAGGGGTATGTGGGTGGTATAATTTCTGAGTGATTGCTTGTCTAAAAAATGTCTGTTTTTTTGCTCTGGAATATAAAAGGTAGTTTCTGTTGTAGAGAAGTATTTTATATGGTTTTGATCCTTTTTTAAAAAATTTTTTTAATGTTTATTTTTGAGAGAGAGAGAGAGACATAGACTGCGAACAGGGGAGGGGTAGAGAAAGGGGGAGACACAGACCCAAAGCAGGCTCCAGGCTCTGTCTGAGCTGTGAGCACAGAGCCTGATGCGGGGCTCGAACTTACCAACCACAAGATCATGACCTGAGCCAGAGCTGGATGCTTAACTGACTGAACCACCCAGGTGTCCCTGATCCCCCCCTTTTTTTTTAAATAAGTAATTTGTGTGATTCCCCTTGTTAGGTTTTTGTTTTAGTTTTATGAATTGTCAACATTTTGGCAGGATAGGTCCAGCTATGGGTTCGTGTGTGTGTGTGTGTGTGTGTGTGTTTATGCTTATGAAAGCTATATATGTAAATATATATGAAATCTCTTATGGTACTCAGTGAATTTCTCTGGTGGAAAGTCTCACGTCCCAGAGCTTTTCTTTAATTTTTTAGTTTTAGCTTTTCTATCTGATCAGTTCCTTCTTACTATAACTCCTAGTTGTTCCATGGTTTTAAACTGTCCTCAAATACCTAGAGATCCTACATATTTCTATTAGATAGCGATTCTCAGTGATGATGAAATCTGATGAGAGACGCACACCTTATGAGTAGGGGTCTTCCTCTGTTCATCTCTTTGTTGGGGGTGGCTTTTCCCCTCCCTGTGTTGGACTCTTGTCTCATAAGAAGGAAAATCATCTCCCTAGATAGCTTTGTCTCAGCTACAGGTACTATGGAGTTGTGGATCATTTTAGCTCTTGTTTGGAAAGTTGTTTGATACAAAATCATATTAATTACTGTAAGGTGGAACACAGGTGACATTACATCCTGATCTATCTTTCCAGAGGAAAGACAAGGAGAGGCCAAAAAAAGCCCTGCCACGATACAACAGTGCACACTGGATCTCTTCCTTCTACCCCGCGTGTCTTCATTTCTGTCATCCTTTTCTGGTTGGTTTTTTTTTTTTCTCTTAGTTTAAGGACAATTTCTTGAGCCGATTCACTAATTAGGTTTACTGCAGCATACAGTGTGCTAGTTACCATCTTCATTGAGTGCTTTGTTATGGCAATTTCGTTTTTCTCCTCTAAGAATGTTCTTTTCATATTGTTCCTTTTTTTTTTTTTTTTTTTTTTTTTTAATGACAGCCTGTTCTTATCAATGTGGCAGTCCCTTAACTCTCATTGAGATTTTTCTGGCAACAGCTCTGTCTCGTAAGGGGCTGCTTGTCCTGAGCACACACATTGGCTTTCTCCTTTTGAATTGCTGAATATTTCCGTATCCAGTTATTTCCCTCTCTTTGTTTCTATGTTTGAAGGATGTCTGCATTTGTTCTGTAGCTGAGGTGGGTTCTTTCAGAAATCGTGTAGACCCTGTACAGTTTTTTGTTTTGGAATGGCCTCCCTTTGGTAGCCCAAAGCCTGCCGGTGGAATAGCTCCCACCTGGTCCGCCTAGTACATCTGTACTCACAGCAGCTCGCTCCACTCAGTGGTCTTCTGCGCAGTCTGGTAACTGTGCCACACCCCAAGGGCTCCCTACAGTGTCTAGTGACACCATCAGAGACTCAAGTGGATTCTAATTCATCCCCCTGCTTCTACTTCCAGCTTGTAACCAGGAGCCGTCTGTGAGGCTGTTGTGTGTTTGCGGATTGGAGGATTGAAAGGAGGGAAAACATGTTGTGATCCATTCTGCTTTACCTGCATTGCTCCCAGTGAAGCCTTTCAGAGAGCTGGGAGCCTTCTGTGTAATCTAGGGTTGATCCTTAGCCAAACTGGACCACTTATGGTTGTCTAACCTTTTACACCTCCTGTATCTTTCTCTCCACCCAAATGCTTTTTAATTTTTTTTAATGTTTATTATTGAGAGACAGAGAGAGACAGAGCATGAGCATGGGAGGGGCAGAGAGAGGGAAACACAGAATCCGAAGCAGGCTCCAGACGCTGAGCTGTCAGCACAGAGCCTGATACGGGGCTTGAACACACAAACCACGAGATCATGACCTGAGCTGAAGTCAGACGCTTAACCGACTAAGCCACCCAGGCACCCCCCGAAATGCTCTCTTAATCCCCATTTCCATCTGTGGAAATTCCATGTATCATTGACCTCCAAGCTTATCTTTATATAGAGAAACATTAGAATGAAGTTAGAGGAAGCCAGGTTTGAGTCCCGGTTCTGCACTTACTCACCTTGAGACCTTGGACAAGTAAGTTACTTAATTAACCTTTCTGAGTGGACTTGCCTTTCAGGAAAATGAGCATAACAATAGTTCTGTCTTCATGAAGCTGTTTTGAAGATTAAATGACATAACAACATAGTGAACACTGAAAATAAATCTTAGTTTTGTTTTCCGAACCCCTTACAGCATCGAGCCCATGTAGCGCCTCATCCATGCAGGCCCTCAGGTAATGGCGGTTGAATGAATGCAGAGCCAAAGGGCTTTGTGCTGAGTCAGTGGCAGAGCCCAGGAAAGAATCAGGGCTCTCGAGTATCTGACCCATGTTCCCACCTGCACGTGCCGAGTAGGTGGGTCTTTAAATATGTTTCATAAAGTCTCTAGAATGGAGGAGGAAGGTTTTGCTTGGCTGTTTTAATCCCTTCATTGAGAGGGAAAGAGAGAGAGAGAGAATTCTCTTTGGTTGGTTAGTTGGATTTTTGAATAATCCGCTGCTTCCTTGTCTGGGTTGGAGTTGTAGAAAGAAATAGCCAGGGATGGAAGCTCAGAAGAGAGGCAACATAGTGTTACAATGGAAAGATTTGATTCCAAGTAGTTGTTGGAGAACTCTTCGTCAGACAGACTCCACAAACGAGTCAGTGAATATGCTCATTCTGCATGTGGTTCTTCTTCTGCTCTTCTCTGGTATGCTGAAGGTGGCATGTCCTCTCCCTCTCAAATTCTCTCCTAATCAGGTAGGAAAATCTCTTCCTTGATTATGTGGCTTTGAATAAACTGGGGGATATGATTATATTTTTTTAGAAGGAAACTTCTGTAATTGTTTCCCTCACTGATATTAAACCATGGGTGTGGGGAGCAAACACCATGAAGTAAATGTACCTTCTAGGAAATTCTCCTCTTTTGTAATTTCCCTTTAGGCCTACACTGCTCAAAATCTTGGAAACTTGCTGGATATGATGTACCAGGAACCAGCACGATGGTCCTACACATTCCAGACATGTTCTTTTATGAGCCGCCTAAAAGTACAGCTGGAGCCCTTTCCTGAGAAACAATTACAGTCCAAGAAGGCGGTACAGATCTTTGAGAGGTCCGTGTACAGTGACAGGTAAGACCCCGAGCCCTCCACTGGGCACAGGCCCCGTGCTCAGCACCGCATGTTTTCTCTTGCTCAGACCCTGCTCCGCTGTGGTTTTGAAAAGTATACTTGGAAAAATGCTGCTTTTTTCTTTTTAAAATTTTTAAGTTTATTTATTTATTTTGAGAGAGAGAACACAAGCAGTTGGGGGGGGAGGGTAGAGAGAGAGAAAGAGAATCCCAAGCAGGCTCCATGCCCAGTGCGGAGCCCAACGCGGGGCTCAGTCTCACAATGGTGAGATCATGACCTGAGCTGAAATCAAGAGTCGGACACATAAGTGACTGAGCCACCCAGGAGCCCTGAAAAATGCTACATTTTCATTGCCCATTTACTTCTGAAGATGTAAGAAATAGTTACCCATTTACTTCCAGATTAGACAAACCAATTCTACTTCTTGGTGTTCCATAAAGCCTCATGTAGGAAAAAACTACGGGTACACTTGTAAATGTCATGTAATTTTTAATATCTCGAAACACTGCAAGATATGTCATGCAAGATATGCAAAACAGTGCAAGGTACGGGCTACATATTCCTTCTCTACCCAAGAGAGAGCCTACTAAGGGGCACCTGGGTGGTTCAATCAGTTGAGTGTCCAACTTTGACTCAGGTCAAGATCTCACGGTTCATGGGTTCGAGCCCCACGTTGGGCTCTATACTGACGGCTCAGAGCCTGGAGCTTGCTTTGGTTCTGTGTCTCCCTCTCTGCCCTCCCCCGTTTGTGCTTTCTCTCTCTCAAAAATATTAAAATTAAAAAGAGAGAGAGAGCCTACCCTTTATAAAAGCTAAATATGTGAATTATAGGTAGTTGGGCTGTAGATTTTGGTTCTTTTCATTTGTTGGGTATACTACTGCATATTTTTCTCTCCCCTTTCCTAAGCCATGCCTCTTGGACTGGGAAGATGACTTACATACAACAACCCCGGTTGCTTGGAAACATACTCACCATGGGTTTTTTTTTTATTTCCAGCCCTTTAGTGAAGTAGGCATATGAGAGACCCCCTCAGAAAAAAGAATACTTGGTTTAGAAGGTATAAGATCTTAACATTTACTTGTAAAGGAAGAGATGAGAACTGATTTTGCTATAGACAGCTATACATTCTAGATGTTTTCTTCAGAGGGGGGCATTTTTGAGATAGAAAAGATAATTCATTTAATCCTAATGGTAACTTAGGCCTTTTCCCCTTTTTTAATTTTCTGTTTTAGAGAGCGTGTGCTAGCAGGGGATAGGAGTAGAGGGAGAGGGAGGGAGAATCTTTTTTTTTTTTTTTTTTTTTTTTCCAACGTTTATTTATTTTTGGGACAGAGAGAGACAGAGCATGAACGGGGGAGGGGCAGAGAGAGAGGGAGACACAGAATTGGAAACAGGCTCCAGGCTCTGAGCCATCAGCCCAGAGCCCGACGCGGGGCTCGAACTCCCGGACCGCGAGATCGTGACCTGGCTGAAGTCGGACGCTTAACCGACTGCGCCACCAGGTGCCCCAAGGGAGGGAGAATCTTAAGCAGGCTCCACAATCAGTGTGAAGCCTGACACGGGGCTTGATCCCACAACCCTGGGATTATGACCTGAGCTTAAATCAAGAGTCAAACGGACACTCAACCGACTGAGCCACCCAGGCACCCCCAGACCCTTTCCCCAAAGAACTCGTTCACTTGAGGCACCTGGGTGGCTCAGTAGGTTGGGCATCCCACTCTTGGTTTCGGCTCAGGTCTTGATCTCACAGTTCATGGGTTCAAGTCCCACCACATAAGGGCTCTATGCTGGCAACGCAGAGCCTGCTTGGGATTTTTCTCGCTCTCCCTCTCTCTCTGCCCTTCCCCTGCTCACGTGCATGCTCTTTCTCTCTCTCAAATAAACATTTTGAAAACATTCATTCATTCATTTGCTCAAGCACAGATTTATTAAATCCCTGTATGTTCAGACACCAGGCTGGATCCTGGGACTCAGCAGTGAGCAAAGGAGACCCAGTCCCTTCCTTCAGGGTAATCCTACTCTAACGGGACTCTGAGACTGCACACGTGCACACGTGTGTGATGTGTGTCTCAAAGGAGGAACACAAATTGTTTGGGAGAGGGGACGACTGGGAGGAAGAAACCTAAATCTTTTTGGTTTGAGTTAAAAGAAACAAAAGCATGTGTTTTTAGAACAGGGGCCCTGATGCCTGGGTCCTTACGCTTGTTCTTTGCGGCACCTACATGCAGTAGTTCCCTCCCTTAGCCCAACCTTCTCCCTCTCTCCCCATCAACACCAGCTGGGAGAAAGAAGTGCTCATCCTCAAGAAAGATGAGGATCCCTCGTAAGGCTTATAACAGATACGTTTTTTCTCTTTATAAGATTTTAGTTTCTAAATTGTGACGAAGCTGAAAATATTTTTGAGAAATTGAGTTACAGAAGTCATCTTGTTGTTGCCTTCGGCTAGACCATAGCTAAACCATTCCAGACTGGGAGAGTTGACTTCTGGAGCTCCCAGATTAATTTCTTTACAGCCTAGCAAAGAAGTAGGTATAGTAACAACTACGATGTCTTGAATACTATGCACCAGTCACTCCAGCAAGCACCTTGTCCTACAAACAGTCAACACAACAATTCCGAGTTGGGTTCTACTGTTACCTCTTTGTATAGAGGAAGAAATGGGCTCAGGGAGTTTGATGGCTTGCCCATGGTAACCAGCATATGAATTTGGGGGCCAGGCTCACACTCAGGAATGTGACACTGCAGCCCATTCTTTTAATCGCAACACTTGCGGCCTTGTGGTGTATACTTCCCTGGGCCATTCGTACGCAAGGATTCTGAATTTCATTTTCCCAGAAGTGGCCAGTTGCTAAGCGTTGCCTTAGAAACTGGTGTTCACTGTTTAGGATGTAAATTGTGTTTTGTATCAAGATGCCTGACGTTTGAAAGCAGAATTGACCCTTCTGAAGCAGTGGGTTTCTTGTTAGCTCTGATCTCCTATTTACCAGATGCTCCTTTTGTTGTGGAAGTAAGCAAGGCTCAAGCTAGCTTGATTTTTAGATTTAGCTTTCTTGTACCTGGATTAGAAGCTCAGCAACAGAGGAAACACGTAAAGAAGAGCTCATGTGTGCTTGGGGGAAGGTCTGCTCTCTTGGTAATACTGTAGTAAGTGAGAAATGCATTTCCTGCTGCATGGGTGACCCCACTTCAGTACGTTTCCTTCTCCGCTTGTTAGCTGTATGAGAGGATGGCTCAGCAGCCTTGGAGACTCAGAAGCCCTCACAAGCCCTAGGTTGGTTTTTTGTTTGAAGGCTTGCTACAATAATAATAGAGAAATCTCAAAAGTTTCAGTTTTCATGCACCATACGCTGTATGTTCTGACTGGCTTCCAGCAGGGAAAATTGCTAGCAACCAATGATATTCTTTTCCGGTGCCCCTTTTCTCCCAGTGGATCAGTCCTGTTGGAGAGCTGTGATTTTGGCTTCTAGAGTCTAGATGCTCTTTCCCATCTTGCCGTTGGACAAGGAAGGAGATCTAGGTTAAGAATTCAGATTTCTTAAAGATTGATGAGGAGCTAGAAAGGTTAAGTGGTTTGAACAGATGTGGAACAAGTTGGTTATTGATTTTTCTCCTTCTCTCCCTTTTGCCTTTTATTCTCTTTCCCATTCTTCTCCCCTGCCCCAATCCTACTTACATTTCCAACCAGGTATATCTTTGCAAAGAATCTTTTTGAAAATGGTTCCCTCAGTGACATCGAATGGCATATCTATCAGGACTGGCATTCTTTTCTCCTGCAGGAGTTTGCCAGCCGGGTCAAATTACATGGCTTCATCTACCTCCAGGCTACTCCCCAGGTAATGCAGAACTTCAAGCCTTAAGCTTCCCAGCCATATGAAACCTGAGAGGTGACATTCTCCAACCCCTGATTTTCTGGTTGGAGAAATTAGATTGTGGGTATTATCTGGAGCATGGTGGGTAGAGGGTAAACACCCTCCCATTCTGGCATCGAGTACCCCATTTCCCACAGGCTTCTGCAGTAGAGGGCTAAAGCAAATGACTGAAAGGGACTCTCTCAATGTAGTAACAACACAGAGAAAATTGGGAATTGTCTTTATCACCCAGGGTTTGCAGATTGGCTCCTCTGACCAGGTTACCTGTACTCCGTTGCCTCAACTTTCCCTTCTCTCCAACTGGGTCATCCATCAGAGTCTGGGGTGGTCTTGATGGTTTCCTGAATAGGATGCTGGGATGCAGTGGAGAGTTTCCTCACCTCACCCTGATACTACTGTAATTTATAGCTGCCTTTTTGTTGTTGTTGTTGTTGTTGTTGTTGTTTTGTTTTTAAATTTTTTTAAATGTTTATTTATTATTGAGAGATAGACATAGAGTGTGAGCAGGGGAGGGTTAGAGAAGGGCAGGGAGACACAGAATCTGAAGCAGGCTTCAGGCTCTGAGCTGTCAGCACAGAGCCCGACGCGGGGCTCGAACTCACAAACTGCGAGATCATGACCTGAGCCGAAGTCGGTCGCCCAACCGACTGAGCCACCCAGGCGCCCCTATAGCTGTCTTTTGAACCTTGAGGATGGACTACAGAAGTTACATTTTATGACTCTCTGACTTGGACCCTGGAGCCAGCCTAGTATGCAATAGGGTGATATCATAGAAGGAGCACCAGGAAGGAGAGTCTTTGACTGGCAGTGACCCTGGACACCTTTCCCCTGGAGGGGTCCTTGTCTTTTAAATCCAGTGGCCGAGACTAGTGGTCTCCAAGGGCTCTTCTGGAGTGGGATTCTGAGTCAAGGCTGGAGGTATTTTTTGAGAGGTGTGTTGCTCTCAGCTTTTGAGACATATGTAATGTGTAGTCAAATACCAGATATACTGCATAATCTTAGGAGGAAAGCTCCTTTCTGATTAGAGGCCGTGCTTTTTATTTATTTTATTTTATTTTTTTTAGAGGCCATGCTTTTTAGAGATGGGACTGAACCTTGTGGACAGGGGCAGGCCTGAGAGCAGACTGAGCAGTCAGAAGATAGGCAGGAGAGCCCATCACACAGGCTTGCAGGAGCTGGAGAAAAGGCCAGCAAGAGTCTTCCTCACTTGCTTGTGCCCTTTGGAATGACTGAGAAGTGATGGTGACAGTGGTGGTGGTGGTGATGGTGGCCGCGGTGGTGGCGGCGGTGGTGGGGGTATGACTGACACACCTTCGTGGAGAGACTAACTGAGCTCCTTCAGCAGGGGTGGAATGAGGGGGGTTGTTGAAAAAAAAATGAGGGGCTTTGAAGGTTTCTTGCAACTTAATGGTAGAAAAAGCAGAAAAGCTTTAAGACTGGTTGTGGATTTTGATGGTCTTTTGATGGTTTTAGAGCCAGAGACCCAGGAATGCTGATATCCTTCTCCAAAGTCACCCCTGACCCCCTCCTGTGAGATTCAGAGGTGACCATATCCGAGGGAAGAGAACAGACGTGAACACGTCTGCATGTGAAAAGCCATGCGAGTGCCCAATACTGTAGTACAAAGCCCTGGGAAAGAAATACTGAGTTTAGAGCATGTGAGATGGACCTCAGTAGGGCATTTTGCTCCTTTCTACCTGCTCTTCCTTAAATTCTAAAACACAAGCAAGCCAACCTAAAAAACAGTCAAAAGAGAAATGTCTGTTCCTCGGTGTCCCACCCAGCCCCATGGAATCAGGAAGAGAGTGCAGCCCTGCCGGGGACTGTCGGCAGCATGGAGCTAGTATGCCGGAAATGCCTGGTGCCTGTGGCACCCAGGCTTGGGCTTGGGAAGTAGAGTGGCCAGACCCACTAGCGGTCACAGTTCAGTGTCCAAGCAGCCTCTCTTCCTGCGGTGGTTGGTCAAGGGGGCAGATCAGCAAGAAGGTCCCCGCTTGCTGTGTGCAGCTACACCGCCCTTCTTACATTCAGGTGTGTCCTTTTGTGAGGACTGATACCAAGAGACACAGGTCTAAAGAACTGTTTGCATATGACTTTTGAAGAAAAGAATTTGTTGAGGGGCATCTTGGCGGCTCAGTCAGTTAAGCATCTGATTCTTGGTCTCAGCTCAGTTCTTGATCCTACTGTCATGGGTTCAAGCCCTACATTGGGCTCCGTGCTGGGTGTGAAGCCTACTTAAAAAAAAAATTGATGTAGCCGTACCAGTAAAATAAGAATTTTGCCAAATGTTCGAAGTAGGAGTTTACCTGTTCATCACGCTCCTTGGAATTTATACCATAAATATGCTCCCAAATGGGCACAATGGCTCATGTGCAAGACAGCTGTGTTTGTAAATAACAGATTATTGGAAACAACCCAAGTGGTCCCCAAGTGGTCATCAGTAGGGATCAGTTGAATGTATTGTGCTCTATCCATACATTGGAAAACTCTAAAGCCATAAAAAAGATGGGAAAATACTAATCGTTAAGTGAAGAAAAGCCAGCACAGGGGATGTAGTGGGACACCTTTTACAAGTATGGTGTTTTTTTAAAAAGTGGTGGTAAGAATGTGTATATGCATAAAATATTTCTGAAAGTATACAAAATTAACATTGGTTGCTGTGGTATCGAGAACTGGGCAGCTAGAAGTTGGGGGTGTAAAGCTGTGTGATGGGGAAGGGAGGAGAACAAGGGGAAACGTCTTGAAGCCATCAGCAGTAAGGGTGGGGTGTATAGGCAGAAAGAGGAAGAAGAAAGCAGGTTCATGGTGAAAGAAAGTAGAAATGGAGAAGGTGAAAGCAGGAGAAAAAGGTTAACAGAGCCAGGGAGACGAGGGCAGAAATGGACTCCGCGAACGGCGGCAGGCAACAGCGTTTTCACTGACCACTGGCTGTGCCAGCCCGGCGCTCGGCCCTGAACAAGACAGACTCTGGCTCCCAGCCGCTGTGCTCTCAGAGCTCCCTGTACACGCCTCCCTCTGTCTCCTGAGACAGCTGAAATGCCACCGGCGGCCTGTGTTTCCCCAGGGCCTGGCACAGCGCCGGCTCTCCAAGTGGTGCTCGGGAGCTGGTACTAGAAGTAAAGGGGGGGGGGGGGGCCTGCCTCCTCCAGGGAACCACCTCTCTGACTCCGGGGCACAGCTGCTCCCTCCCTGATCTGAACTGCTACACTGAAGAAAGATCCAAAGCTCACAGTTTAGCACTTGATTCATTGTTTTGCATGTTGGTTTACCTATTGTCTAAGTAAATTATAAAATCCCAAGGACAAGGACTTCATCTAAGTTTGGGATGATAGTTGATTAGGGGAAAAGATTGGCGAGAAGGAATGGGTGCTAGAAGTATTAACGTGTCAGATCTGTCTCTGTTAATCAGTTTGAAAAGTTGGACATAAGCTCATAAATGAAATTTGTTTACATGATTTCGTCCCCTTAGAGGAAGGGCTGAGTGAGAGGGAAACAGCAAGGACTCTGTGCGTCTTTGGGAGTACCGTGTGCTTCATTTGCAGCTAAAGTTTACATTTGGGATAAAGTTTTTTAAGTGTTTGAAAGAAGGTAGCCCTAGATCAGTGGGCTACTCCACCTGTTCTTCCCAGGACAGGTGACATTGAATGATGAAATGTTTGCCATGTGGAAAGAGGAAGGAAAGCAATCAGGCAAAACAAAGATTTGGAGCAAAAGTCTCAAGGTGGTAAAGAGCTCGGCCTGTCCTGCGGGTCCGATCTGGCTACTGGCACTGAGTCCAGGGAGGTGCTAAGGATGAAGGTGGAGAGGTAGGGGGGACGGCCAGCATCTGGGATGGCCTTGTGCGACAGGTAAAGGAGAAGAAGACATTCTCCGAGCCAGTGTGCTTCAGACTTTTCTACCAGGTGAAGGCAGAGTGGAATCATGCACTCTCTGGAAAGGGGGAGGGAAGGAGAGTTAGTCTTAAGCCTCACTTTTTTTTTACTTCTTTGTTTTATCTTCGACCTGGGCAGAGTTTGCATTCTGCTGCAGACTCAGTGAGTGAAAGGATATGAAAGTCGTGTTTCAGATTTTCCATTTTGTAAATATGCTCCTCATGCTTCCTTGAACCTGGGGCTCTGTGGCTGTAGGTAGTACCGAGCCCGGGAAGTGTTCGCAGCAAGGAGCGCACCGCCACTCTCCTGCAGCACTCAGGAAGGGTGGGTGGAGGGGTCTCACTGGGAGGAGAGAGCAGCTTTGGCCAGGAACTTGACATGCCTTACCTTGGTGAGTCCTCACCAACTCCCCATGGGGTGAGTGGAGGGGAGGAGAGGGAAGCCCACAGAGCTTGCACCACTAGTACAAGGCGAAGACAGGAATCGAATTGTGGGTTTTCTGACTTTAAGGCCTGTGCTGTTCCCATGCAGTTCACCGCCTCCATGGTGAAGTGGCCAGAAGGCTCTTGCCACCATCTGAGTGAGAGGTGATAAGGACCTGACTAGGACAGAGGTGAGAGAGATTAAAGAGAATTTAGGGACTTCCTGGATGGGATTGGGAAGAAGAAAAAAAAAAGGGTTGATGAAGTTTGCCATTAACCCTGTGATTGAATAAGAAAAGCAGACAGTAGAAGCAAAGTCATGGCTTACCGTTCTCAGGACAGACATCGTGAGTTGAGTCAGAGAGCCCCTGAGGACTGCATCGTCACAGCCAGGATAACACATGAGCTCAGCAGGGCCTGGGGATTGTCTTTTAGGTTTGCTGGAAGAGACTACACCACAGGGCCAGGGAAGAGGAGAAAGGAATTGAGCTGGCGTATCTCGAGCAGCTTCACAGTCAACACGAAGCCTGGCTTGTTCACAAGACAACCAGGTAAGCAGAGAAGAGGGCAGCACCACACAGACACCTGCCTCCCTACAAGCCAGTTGCCCAAGCATGAGTTCAGCACGCAGCCCCATAAGAAGGTTGAGAATGTACCGAGTGGCTGGAAATGCCAAGCATTATCCAACTCAGAAACTTAAATGTGAGATGTAATCTATATGCTAAGAGACTTTTTATTAGATTCTGTTTCTCACCTTTTTTGTTTTTTAACATTACCCTAGATTGAACATTGTGATTGAGGATAGTGATATAGTTAGCTCAGGGTGAAGGTCTGAAAATTTCTGGAGAAATTGTCCTTCTTACTAAGTTGACAGTCCTAGTTTTGGCCTTTCCTTCCTTTGGGCTCGGCATGCTGTCCACTGGAAAGGTGTAGGGCTCTGACCTTCCGTATCCATTTCAAGACTAAAGAGAAATTTCAGCCTTCCTCTTTCTGGCCAACTTTATTAAACTCGTTTTCCAATTGCTATTTACATGCCATTTCATTGAGAAGCCATGTGACTTTAGATCTCTTCTATGGATTACTAAGACTTGGTGAGTATGTGAAGGTTGGCTCAGCTTTCTTTTTTCTGTCCCCTAAAACGTTCATGCTTCTTACAAGGCTCCACTTTGAGGCTCTGCTGAACATTCCAGTGCTGGTATTGGATGTCAATGATGATTTTTCTGAAGAAGAAACCAAACAAGAAGAACTCTTGAAAAAGGTGGGGAGGATCTTAACTCCTGCATCTTGTGATTTTCCTTTATTGCGCTTTTGTCTTTGCTTCAGACTTCAGAATGATGGTCTTATGCTTTGTGCTTCAAATTGCATTTCACACTCCAAAGCCCATGGGACCTTGTACATGTCACAAATATAATCCCTATTCTCTAAAGTATTTTGGGCTAATAATTGTTAAATAATTGACTTCCCAGCTAACTTCCTCCTCAAAGGTATTTTAGAACTGGGGAAATACAATTTATGGATTCTATTCCCAGCTCTGCCACTTGATACTGTATGACCCTGAGCAGGTCCCATTTCTCCCCCATGCCTATTTTCCCTTCCTCACAAAACCTCGTGGGCTCGGCTACATATGCAGTGTGGGTGGACTGTTGTAGAGTGCTAAAAATGGGAAATATAACTTTTGGTTTTTCTCTTTCGCACAGGTAAACACCTTTGTAAATAATCTGTAACCAGTCCCGGGATGTTCTGGTTCTCTGAGTTTCTAAAGCTGGAAAAAAATCCCAAGTCATGCACCTTTCCATCGCCTTTTGCCCCTAGAGTGCTCTGACACTCAGGTGCATGGTTTGGGTTAGCCTTCGACTCTGCAGTTACTGTCTTTTATGTCTCAAAGGCTTCTAAAATAAAGTGGAAGTTTTGCTTATTCTGTTAATCCAGTTGTTGGTTTATCCCTGTGCATATTTCTTGGTGCCCGCTCTGAATCTCCCTCTAGATGAGCCATTTTCACCTGAGAACAGCCATAGCTTTTCTCTTGAATCCTTCACCACCTAGACTTCCCTGTGTGCTCACTTGTTCCCTCTGATGCGCCTGGGCTGGGATTGTTCCCAGAACTCCCATCCAAGCCCTGCCCTGGGCACGAAGGAGGGAAGTACAGAGGTTCGGGAGAGTGTGGACACTCAGTGCAGGCCCCCAGCACTAGGGAATGGAACCCGAACTCCAGGATGCTCCTGTCTCTTCCCATCCAGCACTTTTGCTTGGGGGTGTGGGGTGCTCTGACCTTTGGGCTAGAGCTGAAGAACCTGGGCCAAAGGAAGATGGAGGGAGGGAGAAAACAAATCATGAGCCCAAAAGTCCCAGCATCTTGCATTTAGGATTCAGTCATCCTGGCACTCTGGCCTGCCCTAAATATACCCAGTGAGTTTCAGGTGATCTTAATGGAGTGACTGTGCTGGAAAAAGAATTTTTTGTGCTGCACTTCAAGCTCCAAGGACAATTTATTGTCAAGAGAAAAATGCATGGCTCCGTAGAATCGAAATGCTCCATTGCAAGAAGCCTGCAGCTCCATGAATCCCTGCACTGAGCCCTTAACAGTCGTGCAGGCACACAGGAAAACGAATAAGCTCAGAAGTCAGCGTCCCAGGAGACAGAAACCTGTGTTTCTCTTTATGCTTGGGGAAACGAGCATGAGATTGGCTTCTGACAAATGTGTGCTGTCGTGAAATGGAAGCACAGCATTTCTTTATCATACTTAAATTTTTAACACTTTTATTGAGATACAATTCACGTACCGTACAATTCACCTAATTAAAGTGCACAATTCAGTGGTTTTTAGTATGGTCGATAGGGTTGAGCAACCATCATCATAGTCAATTCCAGAATGTCTTCAGCACCCCGAGAAAAATTGCCAACCAACTAGCAGTCACTCCCTGTTCCCCATCGCCCTTACTTCTTCCACCCCAGTGCAGCTCTAGGAAGTCACTTTCTGTCTCTAGATATGACTCTTCTGGAGATTTCATGTAAGTGGAATCACATAATATGTAGCCTCTTGTGACTGGTTTCTTTCAAGGTTCTCCACGTTCAGCCATGTTGTAACATGCATCAGTACATCGTTCTTTTTTGTGACGAAATATTTCATTGTATGGATATACTACATTTTGTTTATCCATTCATCTATTGATAGACATGTGGATTCCATTTTGGGGCTGTTACGAATAATGCTATGAAAATTCATATACAGATTTTTAGATTTTAAATTTTCTTGGATATACATCTAGGAGTGGAATTACCAGGTCAAATGGTAACTCTGGAGGAACTGTTAAACTCTTCCAAAGTGGCTGCACCATTTTACATTCTCTGCAGTGATAAATTAGGGCCCCAGTCTTTCCCGGTCCTTGCCAAAACTTGCTGTCATTTCGATTATAGCCGTCCTAGTATCCTATCCTGGTTTTGATTTACATTCCCTGATGGCTAATGATGTTGAGCGTCTTTTCATGTTACTATTTGTTATTTGTATTTCTTCCTTGGAAAAATACCCAAATCCTTTGTGCTTTCTTCAGTTATTTGGCTTTTTATTATTGAGTTGTAAGAGACTTTGGATATTCTGGGTACAAGTTTTTACCAGAGACATGATTTATAAATATTTTCTACCATTCCCTCGGGTGTATTTTGATAGTGTGCTTTGAAGCACAAAAGTTTTGAATTTCGACCAAGTCTAGTTTGCCACTTGGGCTTTTGGTGTCACGTCTAAGAAAGTTTTGAACAACCCAAGGTGACAAACATTTGCTCCTAAGGTTTCTTCCAGGAGTTGTATAGTTTTGGCTCTTCCATTAGGTCTGTGGTTCATTTTGAGTTAATTTGTGTGTGTGGTGTAAGGATTGACTTCGTTCTTTTGTATGCGCATATCCAATTGTCCCACCATTTGTTGAAAAGATGATTCTCTTTTCCCACTGAATTCTCTTGTTAGTGTTGTCGACCCACTTGTTCTTGTGTTTGTTTGCCGCTTCAGGCTTTGGACAAGACCAGGGATGAACATTGAATGGTAGGTACGTTTTAGAAACTCAGTGCTTTTGGTTCTTTAGCTTTGAGGGGCCCGAATGTTTAATTCCCATTTACATTTTCAGGAACCACTAATGTAAAGCCAGAATAAGAGCACTGGGACCCCACCCTTCATTCGTTTAATCAGTCATCAAATATTTGTGAGTATCTCCTGTATGCTAGAGACCAAGGAGATAACAGCACAGCGGAGGCAGGCTGCCCTTACCTTGCAGAATTCGCCATCGGATGGTGAGGGTGAAAGAGCAGACAAGTAATTGCTTATGTGGTGAGCGGTTCAAAAGGAAACATACGGGTGTTCTGTGGGGGCCCATGACAGAAGGAGCCAACATAAGCTGGGACAGCCCCCCCCTAAGAAAGTGGCAACTGTTCCGAATTTTGAAGAATTAATGGGGCAGGGTATTCAGGCAGAGAAAAAGTCACGTGCCAATGTCTTTGTGTGAGAATGAGGCATTAGGCCCAGCTTCTCAAAACCACATAAGGCTAGTGGGTTTAGAATTTAGGAATACACTCCTATCCTTCACCTTCTTCACTTAGAAAAAGCCTGAAAATCTAGAAATTCAGCACTTCTTTCCCTGCATAAACTTTGCCCTTCAGAATGTGAATGTTCCGGGGGTGCCTGGGTGACTCAGTTAAGTGTCCCGACTCGATTCTGGCTCTGGTCATATTAACACGGTTCATGGGATCAAGCCCTGCATTGGGCTCTGTGTGCTGACAGCACGGAGCCTGCTTGGGATTGTCTCTCTCCCTCCCTGTCTGCCCCTCCCCCCTTTCAAAATAAATAAAGAAACTTAAAAAAAAAGAATGTGAATATTCTGTAAGATAGCACCGTGGACAGTCTACCTGGGTAAAATAATTTGCCGTTTTCCAAATTGGTAGTGAGATGGTCTAGAGAGACTGTTTTAATGAGGACCTTAGCATTCGAGGAGGGACAGGTCTGGGAGGAGTGTTTAAACACGGAGACCCAGCACAGCACAGTCACACCAGGCCGGTGACTGTCCCACTCCCATTTAGGCTGTGCTCCAACGTCAAATAACTTAGATTAGCACATAAAAATAGAGTTCATTCTCACTTGTGATGTGGTAAAACCTGCTCTTCCCGAACCAGAATATTACCTTGATGGGTTTGTAATGTGAATTGAGATTGTGAAAGTTCTCAAACTCTCCGGCTTTTAGCGTGAAAGGAGAAGGTGGTGGTTTCAGGGGAAAGGCTGTTTATTTTATGAAAATGCTAGAATCACAGGACGTTGAAGCAAGGGAAGAACATGTGCTTTAAAACTGAAAGACTGCTTACCCTTCAGCCTTCACTTTTAAGGAGTGGGCAGTTTAAATCTGGACCACTTTCTCCTTGGAACTTTCTCCTTGGTCTCTTCTGTGTTCCGCTATTTGGTCCCTCCCTTTCTGTGTCCTTAGCTGACTCCTCATTTCCTCCTCTCCTCTCAAGTGTTGGCGTCCCCAAGGCACCCTTGGTTCATTTCTGTCTTTACCCACTGTGCTGAGTGATCTTGTATTCCTTTTTTTTTTTTTGCTGCCATATCAAGTTACCACAAATTTGGCTTAAAGTAGCACAAGTTTATCTTCTAGTTCTGTAGGTCAGAACTCTGACGTGGATTCTCTGGAGGACAATCTGTTTCCTTACCTTTTCTGTCTTCTAGAGGCTTCCCACATTCCCTGGCTTGTGTCCCCTTCTTCCATCTTCAAGGCCAGCAACTACGTCTCTGACCCTTCTCCTGTGGTCACATCTCTCTCTGACCACAGTCAGGAAAGGTTCTCTGCTTTAAGGCAGAGTACTCTCCCCATCTCAAGATCTTTAGCCTTAACTACATCTGCCAGGTCCCTTTTGCTATTAAGGCAACATATTTACAGGTGCCGGGGATTAGGGTGTGGATGTCTTTGGAGGGCTGTTAACTCACCCTTGCGGAGATCTCAAACACCATCATAGCTCCTACTGTTATCATGGGGTGAGTACTTCTCAAGAACTTGGAAATGTGGAAAAATGTGAATCATTTGCAATAGCAAAGGGAATAGTGCAAAGAACTGTATCCCCATTACGCAGACCCAGTCAGCCTCAGATCACCAGAAACAAGCCTGTAGTTTGACAAAACCAGATTTTTTAATTCATTGTGATGAAAGGGACCTCACCAGAGTAACTATGGGTGTCTTACCAAACGGGAAAAGAGAGAATTAAAGGATCTGGGGGAAGGATAGAGTTTAAGTAAAAATGTAAATGAAGCAGTGCTTTGATAGGCTCAGAGAAAAGCAGATCTCCGTATACGGGAGTCAACGCCTGGTCTGAACTGCACTGCAGGCCCAGGTTCATTTCCTTCAAAAGTACAAAGTGAATGTTGTGTTCAGAAGCCCCTTATCTGAAGCTCCGAACCTGAATTACAAATCAAGACCGTTTCTCTGTGTCAAAGTGACTTAGATCCTCCCAGCAACAGGAGGGTGTTTCATTTTTACTGATAAAATTTCAAACGGCAAACTTTCTGACGGTCCATCATTTCAGAGAACAAGGTGAGCTCAGTGACTCAGAAAGCAGTAGCCATGCAAAGAAGGGGGTGGTTGTGACACTAGCAGCAGCGTGCCCTTGGGAGGAGTAGCGTTTCACGGCAGCTTTGTAGCTGGCCTTACCTGTGCCGTCTTCCCCGCCTGAGATGGTAGCACGCCTTTTGTTTTCTTAGTCTGAGCTAATTTTTACTTTCTCACCCACCTCAGTTATTTATTCAGGGCCAGTTTTGTGTCAGCTGTAGCCAACCCACCACTCAGATTGTTTTGAAGCAAACCCCAGACTGGAGGGTGACGTTTGAAGCTAGATCCGTGTGGACTTCTGGGTGTCATTACCTGGATCTCCCTTCTGCTCAGTGTGTGCAAAACAGAGTTCTCACCCCACCCTGCCCCTTCCCCCTCCCCGGGGACAACAAAGCCTGTTTCTTCACGAGGTTGACCACATTAGAAGCCTTGGAGTCATCCTTGCCCTCCAGCTCTCTTCCAACCCCTTTCTCACCAAATTCTGAAATCTCTCAATCTCTGAAATCTCTCAAGTCTTCCTGCACCTCATTGTCTGCTCTCTAGTTGAAGGTGTAGTGGGCATTGCAGTTGACTCCCCCAAATGCATTCACCCCGCCTCCTTTTTCCTAGCGGTCACATGGCTCCCTTCCTCGCATGGCCATGTCGGGAGTGGCTACGATGCTCACTCCTTACCCTGCCCGCCCATTGCTACTACCAGCGACCATCTGTTCCCCAGGCCACCTCACCTTATTCCCGGTCCTTATCTGCAGTTTCACTTCCCACAGCTCGGTTACCAGCAGTCAGCCATTGTTCTGGAAGCAGATGACCCTCCTTCTGACGTCTTGAGGGAAAGTCCGTAGTAGCCTATTGCTGTGTCATAATGCCTGTCATTCACCTCACTTCGTCTCATCACGTGGGCATTCTGTCATCTCACAGCATCACAAGAAGAAGCGTAGAGTACCGCACAATAAGATACTTTGAGAGAGGAGGGGCATTCACAAAACTCCTGTTACAGTATGTTGTTATAATTGTTCTAATTTGTTAATTATTATTGTCGATGTCTTACTGTGCTACTTTATAAATCGAGCTTTATCACAGGTATGTATGTGTAGGAATAAATAGAGTATGTTTAGGGTTTAGTACTATCTGTGGTTTCAGGCTTCCCCTGGGCATCTTGGAACGTGTCCCTCTCAGATAAGGGGGAGACTACCATACAGAAAAGCTGTAGCTGCTGTGTAAAAGCATAGCTTCAAGTCAGGTCTTCTGCCAGCCCCTGCCACCAGACAGCCGCCCCCCAGCCCTTCCTGTGTGGAAGTATTAGAGCTGCCATGTTTTTGTAACTTTACCTCCCACCACTCATACCGTAAACCCCACAGGACTACCCGTGGGTCCAGACAACATCTTGTGTTTCCCACATAACGCAATGCTTCTCCCTCTTCTTCTGCTCTTTTTTACCGAAAGGGATACTGATTCCGCCAGTCCCAAGTCTACTCCTGTCTCTGTGAGGCTCTTCCCTCGCACCACCCAGAAGGAACCGGTATTTGTGCTCTTGGACACACTGCTGATTCATCTATGTCCAACCGTGTGCCAGACCTGAATGAAAGTTGTCTGGAGACCAATGGGCTTTGCCATTTTTGACACAGACCATGTCTTGGTCACTTAGCACAGTGCCTGGCATTTCTCTATTTACTGCTATTTGGTGATACAGACTTGCCTGATACAGACTCACTAAATAAGTGAATGATGTAAGTGGAGACATGTTGTGCCCTTTCTGGGGCCATTGGATTTGTGAGCTCCATAGTATGGTCACCAAATTATGAAGTGCCTTCTGTGTGCTAAGCACTACAAGGATATGCAAAAAAAAATTCTGAGCCCAGATCCCATGCTCAAGTTGTCAAGGGAGCTGATTATTGCTGAATGCCTACTGTGTGCCAGATGCCCTAGTGAACCCTTCTTAAATGTTGTATCATCCTCTCATTAATCTTATGAGGGAGGCTTAAGATCCCAGTTTTTACCAGTAAGGAAACTGAAGCTCAGGGAAGTTCAGGAACTCACCCAGAGTCCCGCTGTAAGTGGTGAAGCCAGGACTCAAACCCAGGTCCTTCCTGACTCCGGAGTCTGTTCTGTTTTCACAACAGACTGCTGGTTAAGGGAGACAAGACGAGACTTGCATGCATTTCCTTGGCTGCCTTTTCAGATGTACCAGTCCACTTTTGTTGCCCAGGCAGGAAGAACTGCTAGCTTGCTAACACTGCTGGGTGGAGGCCCCCAGGTGCATCCTAAATATGCCTTTGGCCCAGTGGGTCCTGAGCAGGCAGACGTGCTTCCAGTGGCCCAGATCTCCTCTTCCTGGCAACTGCACCTTCAAGGTGGCGAGCCCCTTCAGGCACCAGGCACTGAGATGCATTTGGAAATTTGGTGAAGGTTCTGGAATGCCTTTACAAATGCCTTTCTACCCTACATCCTCTTCCAACCTGGATGTTCCATCAGACGATTCTCCTAAAACAGCTTTAATCATATTTAATATTCTCCTGTAAAAAGATTGGCATCTAAATGCAAAGTGTATCCTGGATTGGATCCTGGGATAGAAGAAGGACATTAGCGGAAAAAGCCGTGGAATCCAAATCAAGCCTGGAGTTTAGTAAATAATAATATACCAGTATCAGCTTCTTAGTTTTGACAAATGTAGCATACAGTGCAAGATGTTATTAGCATCAGGGGCGATAGGAAACTTTCTGTACTATCTTTGCAACTTTCCTGTAAATCTAAAATTATTCCTGGGCCCCTGGCTGGCTCAATCAGTAGAGCCTGTGGCTCTCGATCTTGGGGTGGTGAGTTCCAGCCCCACACTGGGCGTGAAGCTTACTTAAAAAAAAAAAAAAAAAAAAAAAAAAAAAAAATATATATATAAATATATATATATATATATATATATATATATATATATAATTACTCTAAAGTTGGGGCACATGACTGGCTCAGTCAGTACAGCATGACTCTTGATCTCTGGGTTATGAGTTCAAGCGCCACATTGGGCGTTTAGCTTACTTAATAATTATTCCAAGGGGCGCCTGTGGCTCAGTCGGTTAAGCGTCCGACTTTGGTCACTTTTGAGGTCATGATCTCATGGTTCGTGGGTTCAAGCCCTGCATCAGGCTCTGCACTAGATCCTCTTGGATCCAGTGGAGGCTCTGCACTGGATCCTTGTGGAGCCTGCTTGGATTCTCCGTCTCCCTCTCTCTCTGCCCTTCCCCTGCTCGCACTCTCCCTCTCTCTCTCAAAAGTAAATAAACTTTTAAAAATAAATAAATAATAAATAATTGCTCCAAAATAAAAGTTCATTTAAAAAATGTTGGTGCCTCTTACAAGGTGATGACCAGGCTACTTGACTGGGTTTTGGGGGTTCTCCAACCTTATCTTCCCCTTCTTTCATCCTGTGAAAGAATCCTCTGTTTGGCTGAATGGTTTTACTCACTGTCCTCCAGACAAAGTCTGTGCTCCCCTCTCCCCTGCGTTTGCCCTAGCCATGTACCCTGCTGGACTGATCACCTGCCAAGGAATTGTCACAGTCCTTAACTGCAAACAGAAGCAAGCTAGTGTGAACCTACTGAGGCTCAAGCTTCAGGCCTGTCATTTGCAAGGTCCCAGAGTGTGCACCATGGCTGTTAGGAGAAAGTGATCCCCCTGTAACCGCCTCTGCCACACAAAGATCCTCACAGCCCTGAGACTCTGGGAGGTATATGTTAGTTGTAGTCTCGGCCACGTGTCCTTGACATGCCAGGTAGCTGCAAGGGAGTCAGATAGTATCTGACTTTTCATCTTCACTGTGTGAGGCCATCTTTACCTCCAACCACAGTGGGAAAGTCCCCAAACACAGGAAGGGGATTCATTCACTGGTTCTCCACAAAGTGGCAGATGTTCACTACAGGTGGTTTTTTTAGAGCCAAAGCTTCCATGAGGCACAGCAGGCTCAGGTGACACTTGGGAAATCAGCTTGGTTTGGCCTGGAGGCTGCCTGGTACAGACTGTGCTCCTGCATCTGACTCACTAGACCAGGGTCGAGGGGACTTCATCTCCCGAGGGCACTTGACCTAAAACCTTTACAATAAAAAGGGCCCATGTACATGTCTTTAGCAATGGAAAAGGGCCGTACCGGGGAGGTGACAGCCACCTGAAGCTGGGGGTGTTCCCCAAGGCAAGAGAGCACTGTCATGGGAGAAGGTCTGTGTGCTCTGTACCCACGGTGGCACCATCACTCCTCCGGCCACTGCAGCTAGAAAACTGGGAGCGTCTGACTCCTCCCTCTCACTCATCCCCAACATCCAGGCAATCATCTGGGGCTAGCTACTGCCCCCTAATATTTCTCAGGTCTGTCTCATCAGCAAGCACCTTCTTCAGGAAGCCCTTGCTAACCTCCTACCTGGCTGGGAGGGGGAAGGTCAGGGGTCCGGCCTCTGTGCTCCTGTTGAGCACAAAGCTCATTAACTTTCATGTATCTTATGGTTGCCCTTGCCACATAGCATTAAAATGGTCTATTTCCTCATCTCTTTGTTCGAGCACAGAATGCGCCTATCCCTCTTTGTACCTCCAGTGCCTGGCACACAGGACTGCACAGCTCGATAAACATTAGACAGATGGAAAGAAGGAAGAAGGGGAGAAGACAAGAAGTAGGCTGAGCTTGAGAAGGGCCCCTTGGACTAAGCAATGAAATGTCCCCCACACTCTTACCCCTTAATGCTGCCTGCAGCCTGCTTGCCCCAGCCAGACTCAGAGCTGCCTCTCTGGTGTGAAGGGTACAAGTAGAAGACAGGCAGTGAGCCCTCTGAGCTTGCTCTCAGACTCCCCTGTGCCAGATGATCCTGGGGACACTGGGGACCATGCAGGGCCTCATTAGGAGGGACCTGTGGAAGACAAAAGAGGCCTCAGGCCCTGGGTGGGTTAATCAGCAGCATTAGCCCCATACTGCCCTCCTCAGACTTCTACATGAGAAAGGTATAAACCTAAGTCACTGCTGTTTGGGGTTTTATCATTGTATACAGCTGAACTAATAATCCCGTGGCTCTAAGCTTGCTGGAACATTCTCTCTTGCCTCCTTCGGGGCCCTGCTTGCAAGGCAGGTGTGTGTCAGGAGGCTTGCAATTGGAAGCCCCGGAGAATGTTACCTGGCACTGGTGGCCCCCTGCAGCGGATAGACGGTTCCTGGGTCCCCAGTGCCAGCACGTGCAAGGAATGAGGAAATGGGGTGGGCAAGTCGTCCGGCCTGTCTACTCCTTGGGTTCCTTGCTCTGAAAACAAGAAAGGTGATCTTCAAGGTTCGTATAGCCTCAAGTTCAAAATATTTGTCTTATGAATGAAAAAGCACGGAAGAGATGGGGGGTTTAGGTGTAGGCATTATACCTGGGCTCCAATCCTGGCTCGGCCACTAACCAGCCGTGCATCTTGGACAAGTTCCTGCACCTCTCTGAGCCTCTGTTTTCCTGAAGTCTGAAAGTGAAACTATCTTTGCGCCTGCTTTGCAGGGGTGTTTCAGGATAAGAAATACTGTAGACAAACGTCTGGGCACAGAGCGGCCACTCAGTAAGTGGGGCTGCTAGGTCTTTGTGGGTGGAAAGTCCTTCAGAGAGTCTAGCTGAGCTGAGCCCTGTGGGGTGAGGTGAGGAACATGATGGCAGGCAGGTAAGCAGCATGGGCAAAGGAAGGGATAGGCATAATGTGATGGTGAAGAGTGGGTACAGCGTGGTCCCAAACGGGGAGAGACGACGCTTCCTTTCAAGTGTGACGCAAGACAGTCTACAACAGGTGCCACTTCCAGCAAAGGGAACTGCATGGGTCACATGGCCTATGAGCTGGGCACTACACGAAAGCAGGATTTGTAGAGCAGAAGCTGGAAGACAGTGGAGTTAACACCATGGACCAAGGCAGAGAGCTGAGAGCGTGTCCTGTGTGTCCTGGGGGCGGGGAGGGCAACAGTGGATGAGGAATTGCTCAAATGCTTTAGACGGAGCACTTGGGCCCCTCTTGTCTGCAGGACAATGACAAGACAGGCCAGCGAGGCTCCACTGCTCACGCTGTCTCCTACCTGCTTCCTCTCAGCACCT